CTCAGCTCAACTCAGATCAGCTCAAATCAATCATCTGTGGTACTGTGAAACACTAATGCCAAATAAACAATTGTAGTGTAATAGTTTAAGTGTAGCACTAGAACCTTGAAAACTAAGGACTTACAAATCCTCAATTTTACTTCAAGCTCATTGGGTAACTCATTTCTTTGTCAGTCAGATCTCCTTCTAAGATGGCCACATGAAAAATAGGACAGGTACCTGAATAGAGGTGTGGAAGAAGAAATCTCACTAGGTCAAATTGTGCAACAGGCCACCTCTACTAATATCTCTTCTACCACTATTAAAGGCATAGAAGCCCGGTTCTCTTTTACCTGTGGTTACCTTACTGACTTCACAAGAATATGAGACTAAGAAGAAGAGAGTCATGAAATGACTCTGAGCTCCTTCAAGGAAAGTAGCTGCTCCCACAGTACTCCTTGAGAACCTTCGAGAACTAAAATACAAAGAAGGAAGGAAGGAAAGGCAGTAAGCCCAGCTTAAATATGTATACTCAGTATGACTAGTAGCTAAATGTGCAAAGCATTGTGATGTGAAGAGATGTGAAAATGGACAGAGTATCAAACTAGGACACGGGAGATCTGAATTCAAATTCCCATTCAGCCATGGAAAGTCACTTGAGGGGTTGGTGGCAAGAGTGAGCCACTTGTTTGACATGTTAGATAACTTAAAAAATCTTATGAGGATTGCCGTAAGTCAGAAACAACTAGATGGCAGATAACAAACAAACTATCTGAGGCAAAATTCAGGGCATGGACTATTTTAATTTAGAAATAACTCAATGATCACTCTCTGCTTGCTCTTGTAATTGCTCCAAGTAATTTGCTGTGTTGTGCATTATTAGTGGGCTCTGTTGACCTTATCAACAGGACACAAAAAGACAATGAAAAATATAGGAAAATATTTTCTGGCTCCCTCTAATAGCCAATGTTAATATTGCAGCATGGAAATAAGAGTTCACTTGCTTCATAGAGAACAGCATAGAATATGATTTTAAAAATTCTTTCAGAATGCCTCTAAAAATGCCCTAAAATGGCCTTCTTATGTGTTAGCATTTTAAGTTTTTAATTAATATTGCTAGTCAAAGTTGGGGAAGTTACTGTTTGGGGCTACAGTTTCTGCAGCCTCCTAGCCAACAGGTGACAGTGTGTGTGTTAGATGTTGTCAATTTGCTTTGGACTTAGGTGGCCCTTGTAGGGTTTTCAAGATACGTAAGATATTTAAGGAGTGTTTTTGCCATTGCCACCCCACAGCAAGTTTCCATGACTAAGTAGGGATTTGAACCCAGATCTCCCACATGTTAGTCCAACACTCTATCCACTACACCATGCTGGCTGTCAAATGATTTCAATATCTCCAGTTTGAACTAAAATCACTATCCACTACACCACACTGGCTCTCAAATTATTTCAATATACAGTATCCAATTTGGACTAAAATTGGACACAAGACTTTGTGTTTATCAGCTCTGCCGCTCAATGTGTGCAGATGATGTCCAGCCAAGTGGCCAAGGATGGCACCTTCCTCAGCCAGGATTTTGATAGCCCTGCGACAACATTGTTTTGTACTTAATCAGACCATCTGGGCTAGTATATTCTGCCCTTCTCTCCGTCGCTCTTTGTTTGATCAATCAGGACATACACGTGGGCTGAACTGTGACTTGAGGCTGGCTGTGACAGTAGTACCCACAACCATTTCTTGTTGGCTTACATTTCTTTAAAAGGGATGCAGACAGGCAAAAGAGAGGTGAGAGAAAATGAGGTGGGGATGAGCAGTGGTAGCTCATGGATCCAGTAGAGTGGGGAAAGTTGTTTCACCCTAAAAATTCAGAAGGAATACACTGCCATTTTGCTCATGAGCCTAACTGGAAAGGAAGATCGTATCCCTTGGCAGACTTGAAAGGGTTACTACAGCCTGTACGCTTCTACAGAATAGATCATTCATCCTAACAGAGGAAAAAGTACACATAATCAGCAAAGTAATTAGAAGTAGTACCCCCTTACAGTGTTACATTAATGGTGGGTTCTGAAGTTTTGAAAGATTGAAAGTATCTGATTTACTCCAACTTGCAATATATCTTCAAATTCCCTAATAAGAAGCTTTCGCATTCCTATCACCAGAGTCTAGAGAATCCATAGCCTGCTAAAGAAAAGCCCAGAAAGCAAAGTTTTGCAGTCTCTGAAATGCCTAGGATCAAATCTAGTTTCTTCTGCATGTCAATCAGCTGCTGTGCCCTCTAAGGGGAAGCTGTGCAGGAAGCAGACCCATGGGTAGGGATGAGGAAACTGGTCAGTTTCACTTTCTTCCCCACCTGACTTTTCAAAACTTCTGCTTCTTTCTGTCTCAAGACATGAAGAGATTTCAGCATTTCAGTAAATCAAAACTGAACTGAAACAAAATTCCATCACTTTTTGCTCTGCCAAAATTGTATGGGTAAGAGGACCACGATGGAGCTGGCTGTCATGAAGGAATTAATCATAAGATGTGTCTCAGAAAGGAGATGGCAACCCTAATTTAGCAATTACATGGTCAAATACATTAGGATTCAGATCCAGATGAATCAGTTTCACTTTTCCCCACAGTTTCATTTTTAAAAACTCATGTTTTCCCCTTCACAAATATGAGTTGTGGATTTGGGCCAAGTTCTTTACATAAGGAATAGGATTCAAAATCTCATCCATTGTATGGAAATTGCTGGCTCAAGAAATGGCGATTGACTGTGCATTGAGATGAGTTTTCATAAAAACAAATGTCTGGAGGCCATGTCTATTGTGTGTGACTTATATACCAAGAAAGTACTGTGCCACCAAATACCAATTGCTTGGGAAAAACATCTGGGAAGGGCCATCAACCTTATGGAATGCGTCTAAACAGCTGGCTGGGAAGGGCCATCAACCTTATGGAATGCTGGTTGTGGGAAGCAATGCTAGACTAGTCAGAACAGGTGTAAGCATGCAACATGGTCCACAGAGCAGAGGTGGCCTTGCAGGTCCTTTTTGTATTCCTTGTGGCACCTGTGTGCCACTGAAGAATTGGTCCTTGGCAGTGTTGAAGTGGTGGCAGTTTCACCTTGTCCCTTTCTTTAGCAACGGGAAGGAAAAAGACACTCTGCCCCATGGCCTTGCAGGGTTCTATGATAGTGAGGATGCTCTGTCACCCTCCTCTGTGGTATGGGAGAGGCTCTGTCACCCTCCTGTGCACTAGGTCCATTATCACAACCACCAAGTGATGGCAGAGTGTAGCCATTTAAAGGCATAGTCCCCCCATGCCACAGAATTGCCATCTCTCCCATGGACTGTTGGTTGCACCCCAAAAGGCACCTTTGGTGTGTTTATAAAGCTGTTGTATAGTTCAGTTAGCACATAACACGTTTCCCTTTCTTTCAGAACAATTCCCCATTTCCTCTGATTTCTTACACTCCTTTGAGTTAATCAGATGTTTTCTACTTTGAATGTTGTCATGGATTAAACTTCCATACCTATGGTGAAGGGTACAGTCCGGAAAGAGCTGGAGGGCCACAGCTCTAGATCTTCATTTCCATTATTCAAGTGCTCGTACCATCAAGATGTTTGCGTAAAGTTCAACCAAACCTACCCTTCTGTGGCCTAATCCTATCTGATGTCCTCCTGCTACGACATGTGCAGCAGAAAACAAGGCTTTGCCTCTTCTGTGCAGTAGCCTCTCCAACAGAGTGCTCTAGACTAATACATTCATTTCCTAGCAAACCAGATATTATTGGTGCAAAAAGATGGGAAAAGTTGAATTTCTCTTTGTGACCTTTGGGCTGGTCCTACAAAAACTGTATAATTAAACTGCTACTTCTTTATTTTCCCCTATGCATTTTCCCCATTGTTCCAACAGGGCCAATTCAAAGTTTGCCTGGTTTTAGAAAGTACAGGCTAGTTTTCATATACTGTACAGTACAGTATAGACTTGGGAATCTACAGGCTTTTTGTTCAGATCGGCTTTCTTCTCGCCGGCCATCAGGTGGCGCTGGCGGAACCCCGAACTGTCAAAGGAGGCAATGCAATGTTACAGATAATAGGATTTAAGAGGGGGGGGGGTCGGAGATATTTTCCCCGTCGTCCTTTTTTTTCCTTTTTCTTTTTTTAAAATTCCTTTTCTTTGGGTCCTCGCTTCGTCGCACCGGACTGAACGACAGCGCGCGCGCACACACACACACACACAATACATACGAAAGGTTGCACGCCAC